GCCGCCGCCCCTCGACCGCCCCGGCCGAGCCCTCTGCCCCCGGGGAGCCCGCTAGGCCCGGCTCTGCGCCGGCTGCGGCACCGGGGGAGCGAGGCCCGGCGTGCGGCCTGGTCCCGGGGTGCGTGACACAGGCCTGGGTGGGATCGGGGCCTTCGCGCTGAGGCGCGGCCCTTGGGTGCGGGCCCCCCGGGGTGGGATGGGACCCCCCCCCCCGGCAGCGGGTGTCCCTGCCCCGTGCCCTGCAGCAGCGGGTACCGGCGGTGGCACCCTCTGGACGGGCACAGTGGGATGCAGTCGGGTTGGCCGTGTCCCGTGGGGTGATGGCCGAAAGCTGCCAGAGGCAGAGCGGAGGCATCACCCAGGCCCACAGGGCTCTGGCGGGTGCTGGAGGCGTCTGCTGGCCCCCCTGTCCCCAGGGAGGTTCCTGCGCGTCCATGAGTTTATCCGCCAGTGACCAAAGCACACCGTGACCCCCACGCTGCGGCCCCGGGGTGACACTGCCCGGCCTGGTCACCCCGCACGGGTCCTCACAGCCCGGTTTTGGCCTCACTGAGCCCAGCGCAGCCCTGTTTACCCGCCCCGTGCTCCCCAGCCCCGCCGCCACGGTGCTCTGTGGGTGACTCCTCTACGAGCTCCAGCCTGGGAAGTCTCGGGAGAGCTTGGATGTGTTTGTCACTTGCCTGTCACCATGATGACAGCCGCACTTGAAGCGAGCACAGCACCATATGCAGATAGAAATCAGGCTTCTGTGCCCGTTCTCCGAGGCTGCTTGGCAGGGAGATGCTCGGAGGACACCAGGGTGCTGCAGAACATGCTGTTCCTGAGCGAGGGCCTGGGGGCTCTTTGATGCCAAGGGGGAACGCTCAAGGTACCATCTGAATCTGCCTGAAAAAGAAGCTTTTTTTTCTCTTTAGATGCGTGAAACAAGTCCCCTTGCACTTACTGCATTTCCACTCAGACGCTCAGCCCTTGGCAAACTTAAGGCCTCGCAGGGTGAGCACGGTCCCTCTTTGCTGTCCTGCACGGCCGCTGCAGCGTGGCTGGTGACAGTCCCCAGCTGTGCTGCACACCAAGGGATCGTGATGGCCTGGCTCTGTCGGGACATCCCAGAAACCCTCATCATAGCGCTGGAAATGGGCAATCTCTGGCCTTTTGTAAGGTGCCAAGGCAAAGGTGTTTTCAGTAGTCGCTCAGCAAAGCAGCAAGGCCAAGTGTGACCTGGTGTGGGGGTCCCTTGGGGACCCCGTCAGCTGCTGGCTCATGGCCTGTGCTGCCCGAGAGCCCTGGGACGGGCAAAGCCACCGGCGTTGCCTCAGAGCCCCAGTCTCTGGCCAGTGGGAATTGCCCATCTCGGGTCTGGCCCTTTCCTGGAAGCCCTGTGGATGGAGACGTGACCGAACATATTTCAAACCCAGATGCTTTTAATCCTGCTTCCGAGTCCTAATCTGGGGCCCAGGAGCCTGGTCTCAATTGCTCAGTGTGAGCTGCTAAAGAAAGACAATTTATCACTTCCCCGGTGCCTGCTGTGTGGCTAAAAACCCTCCCCAGACTGAGCAGTGTCTCCCAGCACCGGCTCAGCACGACGCAGAGCGGGGGCTGCTGGCAGCCGAATATCACATCCAGCCCAAAGATGTATTACGTGTTCTAAAAATACACTGAAACCCCAGATATGAAGAACAGCATCAATCTCCTACGCAATTACTGGGGTCAAAAGCCGTATAGATCCCGACGGAGCCTAAACTCTCCTCTGGGATCTAGTCAGGGCTGCAGATGGAGCGGGATTATTGCCCCCAGGGAGACATTGCTCCGCTGTGCTGCGTCTGGGGGCCTGTGGGGCCTTTATTCCTGAGCTCATCAGCTCCTTTTAGGTCTCCTGCGGCCTCAGCTCTCACTGTGTAGGTGTTTCTGCCCTGCTTTGGGAGCCAGCTCTGAAATTCGATGTATTTTTGACAGATTATTGGCATCTGGGTGTGCTGCCATCTGTGGGTCCTGGCAGCCATTACGTGGCTTAGATCATTCTTGGGGGTTTTATTTAAGATAAAGGCAAATTGTTTATCTTGCACTAGGTAGAAGGAATAATTTGCGTTGCTGTATTTCAGTGTCTCCCTGGTGTTTCTACAGCATCTGTCACTTTTGTATGTCCATATGTGACAGATCAGCTGGAGAACTGGCTTAAATTTTCATTAAAAAATGTGAATTTGCTCCACGACCATCATGAACAAGCAGATGGCTCTTCTCTCGCCTCTTTTTCTGATCAGATTTTCCTTTCCTCCCAGACAAGGAGCCGTCTCCAGCAGCCGCGTGGTGGTGGTGCCCAGACAGCAGAGGAGCAATTAGACATTTACGCTGCATCTTTCTGCTGGAGGCATTTCAGAGCCCTCACTCCAGCAAAGGAACTGGTTATCGTGTTCGATGCCAAACAGAGTCACTGGTACCTCCTGTCTTTTGCCTGCTGGTGGGCAGACTGGTCCCACGTCTGAGCCAGGAGGCCCAGGAAGCCCCAGAGAGGCAATTTATCATCATCATTGCAGATTAACGGTGTCCATACGACACGTCGGGGGTTGTTTCCCCACCACTGCACCCCCAGAGCCTTTGGTGAAACACCAAAATTGGGTGAGTGTGAGCCAGAGGCAGAGCTGAGCCCATGGCTGGGGACGGGCCCATCAGGGAAACGTTGATGGCAAATTTTCATCCTTCGGAGCGGGATTCAGAGCCTGGGCTCGGGTGGGCTCCGGGGGGAGCCCCCTGCACCCTCCGCACCTCTTGTCCATCTTTGGGGGCCCGGCCCGACCCCTCCTGCCTCCCCCCCCCCCCCCCC